TACATACATACATACATATGTACTAACGTTTATGCACCCGCAGGCTTGGAGACCGATGCGACAAAACACCGAGACGAGACAGACAGATGGACCCATTTTGACGTACCTTCCCATTCGTACTTACATTCTTGCTTGCTTGCATGCTTACTTACATACGTACTTACCCTAAACCCCAAACCCTAAACGCCAAAGACTTACTTGCCTACTTCTTGGCTCATTCGCTCGCTTGCATTGCTTGCTTAAGTCGCTTGCTTGCTTACCCATCCCGGAGCTTGGGTGTCACAAGTTCTCTGCGGCTTGATGTCCTTGAGGGTTTAGGGTTTTGGGTTTAGGGCGCATCCGCCTTGCAAAGCACGGCCGAGCTCCGAACGTTAAGACTTTCGAAGCTACTCTGGAGCTGTCCAGGCTTCGTCCCCACAGCTGTGGAGGACGGTAGCTGTAGCCCAGACATCGGCGCCTGAATCAGTAGCAAAGGTAGACCCTATACTATACAGTGTTCTACTATACGACACCCCCCCAAACTGTATTCAAATCACTAAGGCCCAAAGGTTACTTAGGCTTGCATGGAGTGTAGAGCAGGTTAAGGCGGGCTAGCAGATTCCACCACCACTTCCAGAGCAATGGGCTTAGGGTTCTAGATAAGTTTTATCTTGCTTGGGGTTTAGGGCTTTTGGGGGCCAGAGGTGCTGTGAAAGGCACGTTTGTATGTGTGACGCCTGGCAGACTTGGAACGTTCCAAGGGAGCCTCTCCACCTCGAAATGCGGCTGCTTAAGCTGTTCTTGCTTGCAGCTACACGGGTAGTTCTCTAAATTAATTAGGGTACCTTTCTAGGTGTCTATATCTAAATCTATTTCCATGTCTATCTCTATGTCTATTTCTATATCTGTATCTACATCTGTGCAGGTATATTTGTAAATACATGTCAGACAATAAACACATGGATACATACATATGTCTGTAGCACAATGTGCCCAATAGCCCTACGTAGTTCCCGGGCTTCATAACTCACTTCTTGGCCAGGTCGGGCTGTTTTCTGTCCGAGCTTCCCGAAATAGCGGGCACGGAGCTGAAGGACCCGAAGCTCGGAGCCAAGAGTCTCTGCGCTTCAGGGAAGTGGCCTTGGGGATCTAAGTTGCTCCCGTCGACAGTGAAGCAGAAGCGCTGAGAGACAGTCGCAGTTGTTGGACCTAAACCCTAAACCCTAAACCCTCAACCCTAAACCCTAAACCCCTTGATTCACTATTCGGCCTTGGGACTCCGGGGGCATTCACTGCGAATTTGTCTGCAGGAGCCTTCCATCTGCACCTATGTGAAGCTGGAGCAGGTCTCCATCTCAGCGGTTTGCCGGCTTGCAGACGTTGGGCCCGGTCTGCACACCAAGGATGGCCATCGGTATCCTTGCCGGCCACACTTCTTCCTCCAGGCCCGGTCAAGAGTGGACTTCGGATCTTTGAAGCGCAGAGCTCTGCCGCAGGTCACGGAGGACTTTTACGAGACGACCAGATGCTATGAGGCGCTCCAGACAGCCATAAGAGAGAGATGCTATGTGGCGGATGCCGCTGCTGAGCTATTCAGGGACGAGCGCGCGAGGAGGGATCGGGAAATTTTTGAGGCTTCTGAAGCCTCCCAGGAGCCAGGAAGCCAACCAGGTTTTTGGGGTTTAGGGTCCTGTACCGTCAATCTGCGTCAGCCCCAGAAGAAACCCGAAACACTAAAAGCCCCTAAACCCTAAACCCCAGACGTGGAAGGATGCCAGCGGCGTGATCAAGCTCCCACAGCCAGAGGCGACTCCCCGAGCTTTCAGTGCGGTTTGGTTTACAGTTAGTGGTTTAGGGAGTTTGGGGTTTAGGGGTTTAGAGAGTTTAGGGCAGAGTCTCTTGCAGGCTGGATGCAAAAAGAGAGTTTAGGGCTTAGAGAGGTTAGGGGTTTTTGGGGGGGTTGAGGCTGAAGTTCTGAAGGGTTGAGGCTGTGAAATCTTGAGGAGTTCGCAGACTGAGGGGGTTCTTGTTCGGTGGGCTTAGGGCCAAGACAGGAGCCGTCGCTGAAGCTTGTCAACTCTAGCGGCTCCGTAGCGCCGTAGCATAAGGGCACACTGTCATGAACGGAATCCTGCATGACACAAGCTCAGGAGTTCAGGGTTCTTTGGGTTCTCGTAGGGTTCTGATTTTAGTACAGGGTTTTGTCTTGTCCATGAGGACATGAGCCATGCTTTTCCCTGTTACGCACGAAGGTTTGAGAGTATGTGAGTTATTCATTGCAAAGCGACGGGGAAAGGTGAGTGTGCGTGGGGATCTCGAGGTTAAGATTCACGGTTTAGGGTTTAGGGTCAGGGTTTAGGGTTTAAAGTTTAGGGTGCTTGTGTGCTAACGTTTTCGGGCCTCGGCTGAAGAACGGCAGAGGAGGCAGTGCTGGCAGTCATCAAGTCCGGTTTCAAAAGAGTTACTTACGTAAGATTCCTGATTTTCATTCACCGCAATCTCGATTTGTGGATTTGCGGCAATGGCCGAAGCCTTGTCATAGCTTCAGCCCTTCACTCGGAGAAGTCTTTGGGCGGAAGGTGCAGTTGGTCTAAGAGGAGCATGTGCCGGCCGCGCATGAGAAGATAGAACTCGAGCATTCGGTGTCCTTGGTTCGATCAACCCTGGGCGCCAAACACTCGAGTCGCGAGCCTAAATCCAAAACCCTCAACCCTAAACCACAAACCCCTGAATGTCTGTCAGAGCTATCGATGCAGGGCGACTTCGTCAAGTGGGACGACTTGGCGAAGACCTGAGAACAAGCCTTTATCTAGGATTATCGATCGAGTATACTTTGCCCTGAAGCTGAGAATCCTGATGCCATCTTTATGCAATGAAGCTCTAAACAAAGCGCGAAAGGCCTTTCGGGCATCAGCCTGCAAGCAGCAAACGGCTCGGACGTCTGCTAGTAGAGTTCCGAAGCTCTGGACGCACCTCGCAGCTGCGGCTTGTGCGGGAACCTCCCTCGAGCCCTTCGTTAAGCCCAGGCTTTACCTCTCGCACCAGTCGTGTGGCAAACCCCTCATGGTCCTGCAGCAATAAGACCAATGGATGCCATCCTATGCCCCATCCGAGACCCTTCGAAGCCAAGATAGTCGGGAGAGAGTTGCTCCTAAAACGGGAGAGAGTTGCTCCTAAAACATGGACCTCAAGATCGATCCTTGGCATGATCTCCCGGCCCTGGACCTCTAAACCCCTAATTGGCCTTCCCCCTCAGGCCTCCGCCCGAAGAGTGCATCTCGACGGCACGTTTTTCATGGAGCATGACGAGGCCTAGGAGGGAAGGGGAGGCCTAGGGTTGCCCGCGAGGTTTGAGGAAGGGTGCATGAACCCGGGCTCGGATTGGCACTCTCTCTTGCTGTTTGGGCTTCCTCATGCTGCGCTTTCGATGGGCCCCACCTGCAGAACAGTCGATGGGATGACATGGCCACAGAGGTGGTTTTGTCACAGTTTTGTTTTGGTCAGGCCCGATGGGTCATCATGGAGTACGAAACTGGGAAGCTCATGGCCATGCACTCAAAAGGGCCAAGGATTCGGAGACCCGCATGCGCATCAGGGCATTCCAGGTTGCGGCCGTGATGCCTGGTTCTTGGGAGTTTGCGACTTTGACATATCATGCCACTGTACAGACATTGTGCACGCTTGTAGCCAGCCAGGCATCTTGACTTATCATGTTGCAATTTCGGGGGGGGGGGGGGCAGGGCGGTATAGAAAATGACCGTGCAGCCCGCGGAAAGTCAGAGTGAAGTTCATGTCCACGTCGCTGTAGCCTTGTCGGCTCAGATTCTCGATTCCTCAGTAGTTGGGCAATGGCGCGAGGCAGTGCAACGACGGTTGCAACTTGACCCGAATTCGGTCGATTGGATCTGGTTTGTTTCGGATGCTGCAGGTTGCAGCCTGCAGTTGCTGGACCTCGCCTGTCTAGTCCGAGTTGTGAGAGCGTAATAGTAAGTTTGATCGAACCGCTCGGAGCGAGACAAGACCTCACACATCGACTCACATCCACGTTCGGCCCTGGCTCACAAGAGGCCTTCGTGGCGAGCTGCTGCTTGGCAGGTGCACGTTGCTTTCACAGAGTGGTGCTGGAAGTGCATGGTCGGTTGTGGCTCAGAGTGTGTATGCTTTCGTTCGGAGTGCATCCTAATCTCGGCAGGTGGCTTTTTATTTGTGCCTGGACTCTTCCCTTCGGCTGCAACGTCCACCGTGACAAACGCAGCTGGCCGCCAGGCGCTTGATCTTTCGATTTTTTGGTGTTTAAGGCCGCGGCAGGCCGCACATAGACGTCGGACACGCAGCATTCAAGATTTAAGCCCAAGGCCGCGATCCCATAGACCATCATAAACCCAGCAGATCGAAAACCCAGCTCCGAAACCCTGAGCCCTAAACCCTAAACCCCTAAACCTTAGTCCCCAAACCTTAAGCCCGAACCCTAAACCCTAAACCCTAAACCCCTAAACCTTAAGGGATAAACCTTAAGCCCGACTCCCCTGGTGTTCCAGGCAGAGGCGGCCCACACTGCTGAGGAGCCAGCAGCAGCATCTGCATGGCAGGGGCTTTTCGTGCCTGGCCCAGGTATGAAGACGTCAGGGGTTAAATTCAAAAAGAAGAGGCGTAACAAAAACAACATGTAGAACACTGGCAAGTATATCAACTCCCTTCTGTAGTCCGTACGAAGCTATACTGCAAGATACCCCTCGAAGGTCCCCAAGCTCAGCTAAGTTTCAGAGTTTCATCGACAGGGGGTATGATCCTGGCAGAAAGGCATGGGTAACGACAGAATGTAATCTAGTGTCGGAGCTGCTTTATCGTTGACATCGTGACCACAGAGTGACTTTTTGAAGGTCTTGGGACGGGATTTGAGAGTGACCCTGCAAAGGTCTCATACCTGCGTATGACGGGCAAAAAAAATGTGTCGCCAGAGTTCCGCGGTTATGTTCGGGGATGATACAGTTTGGGAAATGGCTTTGGAGGGCGCCACTCAAAGCATGGAAGATTGGCCCACTCCGAGGATGACTGATGACCTTGTCCTTGCTGTACCTTTGTACAAGATGTAACTCTATTAGTATTGTAGCCAGGCTTTACCACGACCAAAATGCACTCCGAGGGTGGCGTCGCACTGGGCTTGCTCCTGAGCGTGGCCGCGGCCTCCCCAGTCCTGGCCGAGGAGGAGGCAGCAAAGCCCAAGGACTTCTTGGGGCTTGACTGCCCTCTCACTTTCGGTGGCTTCACCACTACTTCCGCTCAGGAGCCTACGGATGAGGAGATTCTCGCCAAGGACGGAGCACTTCTGGAATAATTTTTTTCAAGCCAGCGATGCCTGTACTTCCCAAGAGTTTGGTGCTGTCTGTACTTGACACGTAGAGGTGTTCCGCCAGCCGATTGCATGTTACGGACTGGGCAGGGCTGCGACATCCGCGTCGACTGCAAGACCAAGGAGGAGCAGTTCCGCTGGGCCAAGGCCTACTACAGGACGGTTTGAAGCACCATGTCTGCGACGGGAGACTGGGTGTAGGTCGCTTTTGTAGAAGGCTCGTTGTGGACATCAGTTGTGAGTTTACAAGTTCTTTTCAGGCGCGTCGCTCGTTGTAGACATCAGTTGTGAGTTTACAAGTTCTTTTCAGACTTCAGGCGCTGCTGCAATGTTTGGTCTTACGGTACTTACGACATGGAACGCGATCCTGCAGGAAGTACAACAGGGAGAGCGATGGCAAGGACCCCAAGTACAGCGCTTC